GTAGTTGTTGAACAACATCACTCCTAACGTATATGGGGGATCAATACAAAGGGTTTAAAGGGGGGATTAGGGATAACAAAACCTTGGTGCTATCAGAGTGAGCCGTATTTAATGCCAGCTAGCGTAATTCGGGAGAATATGTCTAGTAAATTATAGTAATTACTCCAGAGAGAGAGAGTTACGACACTCAAAGCACTCATGATCGGTAGAGAAAACTTAGGCGAAATTATAGAAAGGATAGCGGGAAGGATTCCGACAATTGGGGAAATCATAACTCTAGTCCTCCTTAGTCTTGTCTAAAATTTCATCCTTGTTAGCTGATAAATTTTACTACTTTATAATAGTTGTTAGTTTATTAGTTAGAAATAAATATTATAATCTCTATAATTAAAAAATTATTTGGACTTGTATTTTTTAGTAATATTGAACAATTGTAGCTAAGCCTTAGTTCTCTGTGAGATTCGACTCTTCACTTGTAAACCGGATTATATTTGCAACGACCGCTTAGTCCTTTTTACAAGGCATAGTTGGGCGTGATCAAAAATATTAATGAATTAAACTAACACAACTAAAATAGCATAGAAAGTCACCCAGACAATCTCCTCACCCCACACTTAAAATTGTGCATTGTCTCCAATGTACACCCATAAATATAAGAGGGTAAAAGGAACTCCCTGGTAGACCAAAGGCCGAAACACTAGCAGCTCATGGGGTACTCAGACTTCTCTCAGGTCTGGTCCAATGTGCGGGTACCTCACACTTAGTTCCAACCATCTGGGTTGCTGTTGCTTTTTTTTCCAATGGCCTGCTTCCTATGCTCATAGAGAAATAAAAAATAACACTACAAGAATAATACAATAATATAAAAAATAAAAAGAAGTAATGATGGGTTGCCTCCCAACAAGCGCTTGATTTAACGTCGCGGCACGACGTGAATCACTTTATGCCTCCACTTCGAACTTATGAATTGGACCCCAAGTTTTGATTCAAGCTTATGATTATGCTCCTGGGGTGGTGGAATGAGTCTAACTGTCCCAAGGAAATAATGTGGTATTCTGCACTTCTTGGCCTTTACATGAGGTGTGTAATCCTGACTTTAAGACAAGAAAATTTCCAGAATGCAGGTATCTTGTTCCTCATTCCTTGACTCCTCAATCAGCTCGGATGACTCTATCTCCATATCATCATCCAATTTTAATGTAGAAAAATGCTTGGAGTGAGGACCAATGCGCTCAAACACATGAACTTCAGGACTTTCAACATCCTCAACATCAATGGTACCGGAGTAAAAAAAAATTATATCCTCAATGTCCTTGGCTGACTTTAATCTTACTTCTTCAACATCGACATCCTCAAATTGTAGTTGGGTAGGTTGTTGATGTTCTACTCTGACCTACTCAATTAGCACCTCAATTTCACGCTCTTCTTGGCTACTATCCCCAAAATTGGCTTGTTGAGTATTAAAAGCTTCAACCACTTGACTCACCTGAGCCTCCAAGTTGCGAATAGTTGCCTCTTGCCTTTCTATCTGCAGTTGTTTCTCATTATTTTGTTCCAGAAGGCACTTTAACATATCCTTAATCTCCTTCAGGTCCGCATCCCCAGGTTCTTTGTTCCTATTAACTTCACAAAAAAGTAGAACCATCATAGTAAGGGGTTGGAGGAGGACAAGAAATATAAGCACAACCATGAAAGTGACCAATTTGACCACCACACACATCACACACATTCCACAAATAAGATTGAGTTGGTGCACATAACTCGCTCTTAGAAACATTTTGAAAATTCTGCCACGGGTGATTTCTTTCACAATATGTATACAGATCAAAAGTAAAATTACCAACACCTAAACTTTCATACTTCCAAGATGTCATGTTTCTCAAATCAATAAGTAAATTAAAATAAAATAAAAATAAAATATAATAAATATTCAAACTTGAAACCTAGCAATATGTACAGCTACAACTACACACCGTTAGTTCCTCGGCAACAACACTAAAATTTGATCACGCCCAACTAGACCTTATAAAAAGGACTAAGCGGTCGTTGCAAATATAATCTGGTTTATAAGTCTGGAGTCGAATCCCACAGAGAACTAAGACTTAGCTACAACTGTTCAATATCGCTAAGAAACACAAGTCCAAATAATTTTCTAATTATAGAGATTATAATATTTATTTCTAACTAATTAACTAACAACTATTATAAAGCAGTAAAATTTATCAACTAATAAGGATAAAATTTAAGACAAGACTAAGGAGGTCTAGAGTTATGACTTCCTCAATTGTCGGAATCATTCCCGCTATGCCTTCTATAATTTCGCCTAAATTTTCTCTACCGATCATGAACGCTCTGAGTGTTGTAACTCTCTCCCGAGTAATTACTATAATTTAGTAGACATATTCTCCCGAATTACGCTAGCTGGTATTAAATACGGCTCATTCGGATCGCACCAAGGTTTCGTTATCCCTAATCCCACCTTTAAACCCTTCGTATTGATCCCTCATATATGTTAGGAGTAATGTTGTTCAACAACTACCTAAATATGCACTCTCTCCCGAGTAATACACACTAAATAGGTACAGTCGATTGAGAGCTCTTCAACCAACCACAATATAAATGTAGTTGAACAAATAGAGAAATCTAACGGCTCAATTATATAAAACCATAACAATAATTTGTCCTACAAAAGGTTCTATCAAAACTCTAGATAATAAATTAGCTATTCATAATAGTATGCAAAATTATAATACTAGAATTCATAACTAATAATGGAAATAGGAAGAAGGAAGTGAAAAACTTGTAGAAGAATTCTCCGCCTTGCTCCTAGTGTGTTCTTGCCTCCTTATGTCAAAATTCGGTCTAATGTCGGTCTCCCTCTGTCTAAATCTCTAATGTCGGTCTCCTTTCCAATTGATGTTTAATGACTATTTATATGTGTAGGAAAAAAGCCTAGACGAAATAATCAAGTCTAAAAAAATAAAAAAAGAAGACAAATAGACTTTAAAAATCAAAACACATGTCGCCTGAGGTCTAGCGAGCTCAAACGCGAGCTCCACCTCGATTTATCCCTCGCGTCGAAATAATCTCGCGTCGCCTGCTTCTCTGCTTCAATTCAAATTCTGATTTCTTCTGCCTAACTTTTCAATTCTCATTCTTGTTTTCTTCTTTTTCCTTTGCAATTATTTCTTTGTCTCTTCAATCATTGTCTACTTATGTCAGTATAATATTTTTAATCGATCATGAACCATTCTTGTAGTGTATAAAATACACATAAAAATTTTATTTTGATCCCAATTTCGTCTTCAACGTACCTACACATAAAATAGACTCAATTAAACATAAATATAGTATAGTTTAGTATTAAAACACTTAAATATAAGGTAAGTAATGCATTAAAAATATTAAATTATATCCAAACATCAAGTATCCATTTGAGAAGACTAAATCAATGAAATATGACATGAGATTTATACATACATTTAACCAAAAATAATATNTAGTTATTATTTTTATTCAGTTATCAATTAATACATATCGTAAAAATTAAAATGTGATCGCCTTATAAATGACTTTGTTACGTAAAAACAATTATGTTGTTAGTGAACAATACCTTTCACAATTATAATTAATCAATACTCCCTCCGGTCCACAATAAGTGATTTTTTGGTTATTTTTATACAGATTAAGAAATTTACCTTTTAACATTAATTAGCAATAAAATTGACCATATTAACCTTTACTATCTCTTCACATAAACACTCTTAACACATACTCCAACACTATTACTCCAATGGCAGTGTAGGAAAAAAATAATTAATTCACTCTTGAAATCTGAAAAAATCACTTATTTTGGATCACAAAAAAAAGACTAAAAAATTACTTATTGTGGACCGGAGGGTGTATATATTTCCTTATTTATATATCATTTGATCATGTTATATCAATATGTATGATTTAATTAGACGTCGAATGCGGTTAACGTTTTCCAAAATTAATTACTCCACTCGCTTCTAAATATAGTCATTTCATAAATCAAATCTTCTTTAAATATTTGGAAAGATAAATTATTTTTTAAATCTACCTTGTTCTAATTAATAGAGTAATAACTATATTTAAAGAAAAGATAAACAGAATCTCAATAAATACACTTTTGATTAAAATTACTAGTACTAAATATTAAGAGATGTACAAAAATCACAAAAAACAAATATGATGAAATAGTGTGTAAGTGGGCCACACTTTACAAGAAAAAAAGAAAACAAAACAAATTATTCGTACTTGATATATCTACATTAAATTATATTCCCTCTGTTTCAATTTATGTGGACTTATTTTCTTTTTAGTCCGTGCCAAAAAGAATGATAATTTTCCTTATTTGAAAATAATTTACCTTTATACAATAATTTATAGTCACACAAAATATATGTATCCAGTCAAATGAGTTCACATAAATTAAAACGTATGAAATATTAAAACATTATGAAAATAAAAATAAAAATACGCAATAGTTAAACAAAAACTTTTACCGCGAAGCGACCTACCCAGGTTTCATTTAACGTCCAACTACACCTCTTTCATTCCCCCAACATCTCCTGCAAAACAGAGAAGGGCCCTACATAGTCTGGGAAGGTACACAAATGTGTTTCACGTCATCTACTATTTACTACTGTAAATAGTGTGTAATATACTAACCGTTCGTTTGTTATAAAAGATAAATAATTACGAGATTAAATTTGAAATAAATTTATTTTAGGTTTATTTTGGATAAAATTATAATATAATTAATTTTGGGATTGTATTATTTTTTTATTCTCATGGGAGTTACCCAACCAAACGATCCCTAAAGTATTATGAATTAAGGATGTGTATAATATACTAAAATATTCTTGAATTTTGTGATATTAAATATATCATATAAAAAATTGAGTTAAAAAGTTACAAACTTTCGAAAAAAAATGTTAATACAGATCTAAAAGAAAAGGAAAGTAAGACAAGTAAATTAAAACGGATAGATTATTCCATAGTACAAGTATCAAATTCAAGCCACTCAATAATAGCAGTAACAATTACCTCTCAATTTTAAGTTAGTTGGGGTCGCTAACTAGTCAAAATGTCTTCTTCAGTTCTTCCGTTATGCATCTTTCTCGTCCTTTTCTCTGCAGCTTCTTCGGCCGTCGCCGGCAAGGAATCCCAGTCCCCCACAGTGTACGAGATTATACAGGAATACGATTTTCCGGTGGGACTACTCCCAAAAGGCGTGACAAGGTACGAATTCAACAAAAGCACTGGCAATTTCGCCGTTTACTTGAACAAAACGTGCACTTTCAGCATAAACGGTTACAGTCTCAAGTACATGAGTAAAGTTACTGGTAAAATTTCCAAGGATAGAGTAGCGAACTTGAAAGGTGTGCAGGTAAAACTGCTTTTGTTTTGGATTAATATTGCGGAAGTTACTCGTGACGGTGACCAGCTTGATTTCTCCGTCGGTATTGCTTCTGCTGATTTTCCTATTGATAACTTTTATGCGTCTCCACAATGTGGATGTGGGTTTGATTGTGTTAATTCTAGCACTGGTGAGTTCAATTTGAAGCAGCTTATCTCTTCATCTTGAATAATTAACGAAAATTTCAGGAATTTCAGAACTAAATGGACCTAGTTTGGTTCATAGTAAGTCCTTAGTAGTAGAAGTGCATTTAGGTTGAAATTAGAGGGACCGGAAGCTAAATGGATGCTCCATTTTGTATTTCAGAATAACTGGAAGCATATGCCTTTTATTTCTTGTCTTTTTGGGGATGATATTATTTTTGTCCCATTTTGTACCCTTTACTTATGGGAGTTGTAATATAAACATGTTTTAAGCATATTGACAATTTCAATCACTATTAAACATATTATTAGTACCTTAATCTCGTTGATTTATAAGTTTTTTTCAGGAATATTTTGGTAATAATGGGATTATTTTTGGTAATTCCTATTCCCTCTCTCTTATTTTATGTGAAAGGTTGGGTGTCACGTCCCAAAATATCCTCTACATGTGATTGGCACCCCACACACACCATCAGCCAGGCGAACCAAATTTTCATACTTTAGCCTTATAATTGCAACATTTAATAAGTTAAATAAGTATCTAAACAATCTAATAATTAATTGCCAATAATTAATATCTCAAATATTTAATTAAAAACTCTTGTCCAAATTCCATACTAGACCATGGAGCATCTAAAAAAAATAACAAAAGACTGAAAAGTGGGTGTCTAAACCCCCCAAAAAAAACATCAATAAGACTTTTTTGGAACCTCCACGAACAATGTGGTGGCTCACTTCAACAGCTGGATAAACTCTAGTGAACGTGTCAGCTACTATCATTAATAGTATCTACATGGACATGCATATAAGGAGTGAGTTATACATGAATATAACCCAGTAAGATTCTCGACCCACCACTCTAAATACCTCTGGAACAAGTATTAGAAATGCAAACACACAACGAGCACAAAAATAATATGCACAATAATTATTTCACAACATAATTATCCAAATTAATACTCCCTCTGTTTCAATTTATGTGAACCCATTTGACTGGGCATGAAATTTAAGAAAAAAGAGAAGACTTTTGAACTTGTGGTGTAAAATGAGGCACATATATTTTGTGTGGCTATAAATCATTGCGTAAAGGTAAATTGTTTCCAAATAAGGAAAGATGTCATTCTTTTTGGCACGGACTAAAAAGGAAATATGTTCACATAAATTAAAATTGAGGGAGTATTTAATAGCACACACTTATATCTTTAACATAATTCACACTAAGGACTTGTCATAAACGGCAATGAAAAAAATGATCAAACACCTTGACGAGTCCAGAGTAGCATACACAATGCGCCAAATCTATCATGGCGGCATACACAATGCCCAAAATACATTACGGCAGCAGAGAAATAACTTCTAACACCACAACGCCATAGCACGAGGCTACGCCTCACCACACCACAAATTACTTAGTAAATAATTTCAGCCTTTTCACAAAATAATACATATTTGCGGCTGGTCAAAGAACAGCGATGTTGCCAAGCACACGCTTGTCCCACCACATGGATCAGGCAGACAAAACATACTTTCAAAACAAGTTTTGAAAAGGCAAGTATCAAAGCTTAAAGCCTCACCTACCTCGCTAATAAAAGGTTCCCCAATCTTGCGACGTCCAACCAACCAACCAAACGGCCTCCAATGATCATAATCCCAAATCTCACCTTAGGGATCGTGATGGCACCTAGTCTCTAACACAAGGTAAGTGTCACGACCCAAAATCCAACTAGTCGTGATGGCACCTAACCCATCCCGTTAGGTAAGCCAATTTTCAACTAACCAAATTTCAATAATAATTATTAAAGCAATTTAAGTGAATAAAGATCCTGATCTTATACAATCCCCAAGAACTGGTAGTACAAATCATGAGCTTCTAAGAATACAGTATACAAAGCGGAAATAAAATAAATACATAGTCTGTTTGAATAGTACATAAACAGAGCTTATATAAATCTAAAGCTACCATGAATAAGAGGCAGCTACAACAGGAACGCATGTACATCTTCAAATCCCGCAACTATCGAGCACAGCAACAATAACAGCCAACATTTGTACGCAATGTGCAGAAGTGTAGTATCAGTACAACCGACCCCATGTACTGAGTAAGTAACAAACCTAGCCTTAGGTTGAAAGTAGTGACGAGATTCTACCAAGGTCGGGTCCAAAACCACTAATCCACAACAGTTAATAACGACATAAAGCAAATAATACCAGAAGTAACTCAGAGATAAAATGCTCAGTCACATCATGATTTCAGCAATAATAGTTCTTCCTTTCAAGTACATCAGTGAAAATCCAAATCTTTTGCCAAAGTTACCAAAAATGTGAATGAGTTTGAAAACAGAAATTTTTCCACAATCCTTTCAATAATAAATAAAATATCTCATTTTCTTTCCAGATAACCATTGTAAAACAAATGCATCACTATGCCCATCTGTCAACATGTGTGATAAATCATGAATAATGTGATACCGTACAACATGAGAAAAATACATCTCTATGCATATATGTCATGTGTGCATGTCAATGCAATGTATCTCAGAGATTGTACTCATGTACTCACACTCTCAGAGTACTCAATCTCANGTTACCAAAAATGTGAATGAGTTTGAAAACAGAAATTTTTCCACAATCCTTTCAATAATAAATAAAATATCTCATTTTCTTTCCAGATAACCATTGTAAAACAAATGCATCACTATGCCCATCTGTCAACATGTGTGATAAATCATGAATAATGTGATACCGTACAACATGAGAAAAATACATCTCTATGCATATATGTCATGTGTGCATGTCAATGCAATGTATCTCAGAGATTGTACTCATGTACTCACACTCTCGTAGTACTAAATCTCACTGTGTCATATTCCCTCTCACTCTGCTCAGCACACTCAATCACTCAGCGCTATACAATACCTACTACGACGTGCAGCCCGATCCCTGTTTATAGTCGAATGCATTCACTGGGGGTGTACAGACTCATGCGGGGCTCCTACAGCCCAAACGCTATAAGCACGGACAACTCACGTGCTGCACGGACAACTCACGTGCCATAATATAATTATCTGGATCCGCACGGCCAACTCACGTGCAATAATAATATAAGGATCCGCACGGCCAACTCACGTGTTGCACGGCCAACTCACGTGCAATAAGAAGCCAATAAGGCCTACTGCAGGCGGGCAGCCCCGATCTATAAAATATCTTCACAATCAGGCCCTCGGCCTCCCTCAGTCATCAATCTCTCCAGTCTTTCTCTCATGGGCTCACAATGTCATGAGAATAGGCCAAAATAATGATATGATGTATCAATAAATAACAACAGAGACTGAGATATGATATGCAATGAAATGAATATGACTGAGTATGAATTTTCAATTTAAACAAAAATTCACAGCAATATGATCTCTGTGGGATGCAATAATACTGGCACATAGCTTCGACATGATTTTTAATATGCTTTTCAGCTCAATTTCTTTAACACATAAAACTGCATGGAAAATGCCAAGAATTATTTAACTATAAAATTCCACAAAAATAATTATGTCATAATTTCTGTAGTGCACGCCCACACGCCCGTCACCTAGCATGTGCGTCACCTCCCAACAATTTACATAATACATATATTCAGGGTTCACACCTCAACTTCAAGATTAGAAGAGTTACTTACCTCGAACAAGCCAAATCCAATGTCGAGCAAGCTAAGCAATGCTCCAGGAATTCCATTCTACGCTTATCAATTTCCAAATAGCTCAAATCTAGTTACAACAATTTGACTCAGTCCACACAATTTATAAGAATTAATTTCATATCTAAACGCAAATATTTTTCATAAAATCCGAAATTACGCCCCAAAAATTACCTGTGGGGCCCATGTCTCGAAATCCGACGAAACTCACAAAATACGACAACCCATCCAATTACAAGTTCAACCATATTAATTTCACCCAAATCCGACTCCAAATCGGTATTCAAACTTGAAAAATTCGTTTTGTGACATTATAGAAATTTCCTTCTATTTCTCTTGAAGATTCAATAATCTTACACCAAAAATGAAGATTAATTCATGGAATATAATCAAAAGAGAGTTAAGAACACTTACCCCAAGTTGTGTGGAAATTTTTCTCTCCAAAATCGCCCAACCCGAGCTCCAAAATCTAAAAATGGGTAAAAATGTTGAACCCTCGAATTTTAAGGTTCTGCCCAGTCGATTTCTGCATCTGCGGACAAGGGGTCGCACCTGCGACCCTCGCTTCTGCAGACAAATGGGAGCATTTGCGAGCCAGGCCGCTTCTGCGGAGAGCCAAGCGCGGATGCGACTCTGCACCTGCGCTGCCCGACTTCCTCACCCTTTTCCGCTTCTGCGCCAACCCTTCGCACATGCGGCCTCGCAGATGCAGGCAAATGCTTCGCACCTGCAAGCACTGCCCAGTTTCACACTTGGCCTCTTATGCGACTGATTTCGCGCACATGCGGCTTCGCACCTGCGATCAAAAGCTTCGCAGGTGCGATCACACCAGTAGGCAGCAGTTCCAAAAATGTTTCAAGTTGAATTATATCGGTTAACCATCCGAAACTCACCCGAGCCACTCGGGACCTCGTCCAAATACACCAACAAGTCCTAAAATACACCACAAACCTACTTGAGGCCTCAAATCACATCAAACAACCTGAAAGATACGAACTACACACGGATTTAAGCCTAATAAATTTTGAAATTTTCAAATTCTACAACGACGCCGAAACCTATCAAATCACATCTGATTGACCTCAAATTTTGCACACAAGTCACATTTCAAATTACAGACCTATTCAAATTTCCAGAATCGGATTCCGACCCCGATTTCAAGCCAAATTTCACTACGTACTTTCAAATAATTTTTCAGACACGCTCCTAAGTCCAAAATCACCATACGGAGCTATTGGAATCATCAAAACTCCATTCCGGGGTCGTTTACACATAAGTCGATATCCGGTCACTATTTTAACTTAAGCTTTAAACCTTAGAACTAAGAGTTCCAATTCATTCCAAAAACCTCACCGGACCCGAACCAATTGCCCCGACAATTCACACAATAACTGTAAAGTACAAATTGAGCATTAAATGGGGAAACGAAGTATTAATACTCAAAACGATAGGCCGGGTCGTTACAGTAAGCCTAACACATGATGAGAATTTAGCAGGAAAAAAATGACTAAGATATTAATTCAACTGATAAATAACATAATAAAACCAAGCGGAGCATCAGTCATAAAATCCCCAAAATTGGTGGTACAGAGTCTTATACTCTAATAAAGTACACTAGGAATCTCTAAATACAATATTGTTTTGAAATGAAGATAAACAATAGTATAGCCGATATCAGATGGTGACTCTGAGGCTTGTGAGCGTCAAGCAGGTATACTTTGAAATCTCCGAAACGACTGAATTAACTCACTGGCGTCCAGCACGGGCAGAAGAACCTGGATCTACACAAAAATATGCAGAAGCGTAGTATGAGTACACCACAATGATACCAGTAAGTGGAGTAGTGACGAGATCAGATCAAGACACCTACTAGACATAGAAACCTGAGCAGAATATTAATATAATCTAACAACGACAAGTAAAGTAATAAATAACAACAAAGCATAATGATAATATAAGGCTAACAACAGAAGTAAAAAGCAATAAATAACAACAAAAAGTGCACATATGCTAAAAATAACAAATGATTAAATACAGTCAAAATACAAGTGAAATGAATTAAGGAAAAACAATAACCGTACAAATCAACAAGCCATTCCAACATAGAATGAACAACAAGAATCACACCGAGGTACCACACCTTATTTTCATATTTCACAAGTCATAATCACAAAATCTTCCTTATATCGCCGCGTGAGACTTGCATTTATTTTAAAAATATATTTTCCGAAATAGCTTCACGCGCTTTAGCCCCCTTATCTCGCTGCGTGGCTTCAAGTAATTCCCTTACTAGCAACACGCACATAAATCCCATCTTATCTCGCCGCATGCGCATCAATACACCACCCTTATACCACTACATATGCATCAATATCACAACACAACAATCAACTCACACCACACGTGCCCATGTGCCACAACATTGACAAAATCAACATACTAATGTCACCCCCAATACATAGCCCACGACTCAATCACAATGTGAACAAGAATCTCAATAACAAAATAAACCGGGAGATAATTCAACAATAAAAGATATCCATAAAAAAACAACTTCAATTAGAACCTGTTAATAGCTCTCGATAACTACAACTTCAATTCAATGTATAAGAATAAACTCAACAATGAAAGATATGACATGTAACAACAATCTCAATTAAATGCATATAAGAGCAAACTCGGCAATAAAAGGTGAAACATGTGTTAACAACTTCAATTAAGACATATAAGAGTAAACTCGACAAGGGAAGATAGCACATGTAATAACAACTGCAAATTAAAGCATATAAGAATGAATTCAACAACGAAAGATGTAATAAGTAATAACAACTTTCGTTAAGGCCGGTCAATTTCTACATATAAGGCAGTATACACACTCGTCACCTAGGTGAAGAAAAATAGTATAATTAAACTCAATCCTAAGGGGTAGTTTTCGCCACACAAAGTTAGGCAACATACTTACCTTAATTAGGCCAAATCAACACTAAAAATGGCTTTTTCCTTAAAATTCGCTTTCGCACGACTCAAATCTAACAAAAAAACGACTTAATATCATCAAACAATGCAAGAGAAACCAATTTCGACTAATAAAGCTAAGAGCTTTACAAAATTCCCCAAAAGTTAACCCCGGGTCAGCCCGGTCAAAACCCGATTCCAATGGTAGATTTCGGCTACCCAAAACCCCACGAGTTCATATATGTGTTTTATTTTCAAATTCGAGTCCAATTCGGCTCTCAAATCTCAAATTTTTTGTCACGTCCCAAACTACCCCTAGACGTGACTGGCACCCAGCTAAGATCACCCGCCAGGCGAACCAATTCTTGTACTCTTAACCTTTTATATAAGAATTGAGAGAAATACATACAAGTCTAAACGCATTAAAAATTACTAAATGCGAAATAATTATCCAACTAACATCATAATTTATTAATAAAATCTAATGAGTACTCAAATACTTAATCTCTAACCCAAATTCCATACTAAGACCGGGGAGCATCTAATAGAGTAATAGGTGTTTAACTAACGGGCATGCAAATCCCAAAAAAAATAATAGATATAAGATAGGTAGAGTTGAAAATACAACCTCTATGAAGAATGCAGTGGCTCACCTCAGTAATAGAATCCACTCAACGAACTCGTTAGCCACTAGCCTCGTCCTCAGCAACAGTATCTGCATGGACATGCATGTAAGGAGTGAGTTATACTTAAATATAATCCAGTAAGATCCTCGATCCGCCACTCTGAATACCTATGGAACAAGTGTTAGAAAATACAAAAATACAATGAGCACAAAAATAATATGCACAAAAATTCTTTCACCATATAATTACTCTATAAGGTCCAAATAATTATTCAGCAACAACACTATATATCTCAGCACAATCTACACTAACGACTTGTGATAAACTGCAGTGCAGAAATTAACCAAACCCCCCAACGAGTCTACGGCAGCATACACAATACCCCAAATCTACCACGGCGGCATACACAATGTCCCAAATCTACCACGGCGGCATACACAATGCCCCAAATATATTACAAGTGAAGAAATAATCTAACGCCCCAACGTCATAGCACGAGGCTACGCCACACCACACCACACCACAAGTTACTTATAAAATAATTTCAGCTTTTTACAAAATAATATATATATATATATATNCATGGACCACGCATACAAAACATACTTTCAAAATATATTTTGGAAAAGCAAGCATCAAAACTTAAAGTCTCACTTACCTCGTCAATGCCAAGTTCCTCAACCTTGAAAAGTCTAGAACACCGGCCAAACGGCCCCCAATGATCTCAATCTACACAAAAATATTGATTAACGATGTCAATTTGACTAGTTGGGGTCAAACCTCAATATCCCTAGCTTTCATGCTTAGAGTTGAATCATAATATTCTACCTAGTAAGTACCATATCTTAAGGCCAAAATATATTTCAATATCTCAATCTAAACTCAACATTTAATTACAATTCCAGTTATAAAGTATACTGTAAACTTAATATATAATTACAATAACGTAATATTTGAAGTCCTTGATAATAACTGGAGTAAAAGTTAGAATTTGCCTAAACATAAGAACAAAAAACGGAAACAGCAGTATAATATAAATATTAAGAACATATGCACATGCTGGCCGATTTCTCATTTGGTTACTTATTTACATCCAATTAAAAGCTCAATAATCATTTGTTTAATCATAATGTCCTAGCATTGGCATAATTATCGATAAGGTTAAATAATAACTAAAATTCTCCCAATTCAATTGAAGTCACCACTGTAAGGATTGGAATTGCATATATGCTCTAGATTTCAAATTTCCTTTACGAAAGGCTCACTAAGTAAACAATTATGCAATTCAGTTATCCATTGTCTTCTCATTATCTACTAATCATTTTATTATTACTAACTCATATAGTGCCATCATTAACCTTCTTTGACAAAACATCATAGCCACATATATTCAAAGTTTATACTAATGAACCCAAATAGTCTCAATACCTGAAGCTGCAAGTCTGCAAGTCTCGCGTTGCTAGTTTCCTTACGCCTCCCGCTAGTTTCTCGAAAAATCTCCTCTCAATTAATATTTTTTTTCTTATCAGATATAAGCCCTAGTATATTTAACTCTTTCTAGGACCATGTCACGCGAGGGCATTAAAAGGGTGGGCTTGGACCACATGTTAAACTTTTATTAAAGGAATTTTTACCTCCTAGAGCAAAGCTTAACACCTTATTTATTTTAAATAAATATCATTTTTAAAAATTATATTCTATAGCTTCCTTTTAATATTTATAGCAAAATATCTATTTATGGTTATCTTCTACCCTTAAGCCATTATATACGCTATTTTTTACTTTTCTCTCTCCTTTTTCAGATTTTTCTCTCACATAATTATCGTATTTGATGTAAACTTCTCTCTCCACGTTCTCTCTCTAATTTCATACACGTCATTCTCTTCCCCCATTCCCAGAAATCACGATTTTGCAACTGAAAATTTCTCTCACCCACATCACCTAGCTCTTCCCCATTCTCAGTCACCACGCTAATTTCATACACGCCATCTGCATTGTCTCTCTCAACTTTCGTTATTTTTTGATACAAATAGTTGTGGTAAGTATTTAACTTGTTAGAATTTCGCTTGTATTTTGTTTATTCTGTTTATCTCTACTAATTTTTTATAAATAATAACCATTGTTATTGTATTCAACAGAAAACTTTAAATTTTCTTTCCAATGGTTGATTCAGCATCCCAGAAGATAGTTACCAGAGGTATACCCACCAAAGTACTCAATTTCGATGGGCCCTCTTTCTCTTTGCAAATCACTCAAGCGGAATTGGAATTTGCAGGTTTAGCAGAAATACAGCTGCAGAGAGGAGAACAAAAATATGCAATGACACATTAAAAGAAGCCCAAGTTGAGAAATCTTCGAAAGAATCAACACTCCCCGTTGTGGAAAAGAGAAAAAAACCTATGGATGATACTTCAGGTGTCAAGGGAAAGGAGGTCGATGCAAGAAATAACTCAGATACACGGGACGAAAAGGTAATTGTTGATGTATTAATATATATTTGAGTACTCATACATTGAGTATTACCTTCTCCAATGGGTTTCTATTATTGTATATTATTATATTTATATGTGTGCAATAGTGGATACTTAGCTTCCTCTTCTTATTTATTGATTTGATTTATATGTATGTTGATGTATTCATAAGTATTCAAAATTGCCTTCACTGTATTTATACTTATTACACTGAATTTTGCATATTGTATTTAGATGTATTCATAAGTATTCAAAAATTCCATCACTGATTTGTACTTATTACAATGACTTTTGCATGTGTGTATGTAGATGTATTTATATGTATACAAAATTTGGCTTCACTGATTTGTGCTTATTTATTCTAGTGTCTTTTGCATATTATATTTAGATGTGTTTAAATGTATTCAAAAGTTCATTCACTGTATTTGTACTTATTACAGTGACCTTTGCATATTGTATGTAGATGTATTCATAAGTATTTCAAAGGTGCCTTCACTGTTTTGTACTCATTATAATGACTTTCGATTGTTGTATGTGGATGTATTTATATGTATACAACTATTTCCATCACTGATTTCTTACTCCAGTGTATTTTGCATATTATATTTAGTTGTATTTATATGTATTCAAAACAATTAATGAGTTATGTATTGCTGTTGACATATGAAATCTTTTTGTAATTCTTGTTGTATGCAGGAAATTAAACTATTTGTGAAACACCCGCCAATTTCATCACCGCATATCAGTTCATATACTAACACAGACATAGTCTCCGACCTCAAAGAAAAACTTACTCCAGAGCAGTACAAAATATTGGGTACTACTTATTTTGGAAGTTTCCTTGATATGAAGCGTTGTGAGGTCCAGCATCAATTGCTCAGGTGCTTCATGGTTCTGCAGTTAAAAGGAAGTCATGACGATGTATTTTCAATATACGTCAATGGTACAACATTATCCTTCTCAATCAGGGAGTTTGCGCTTGTCACTTGTCTCAATTGTGTTGGTGACCCTGAAGATTTTCAGTTCAACACAAAGGTGCCTAACCGGATTGTTGAGACATACTTTGGCGGTGCAAAGAATGTCAAGAAGAAAGATTTGTTGACATGCTTTGATGACAAGAATTAAGGTCATGACAACGATGGGGATGCCATCAAGATAGCTGTGTTGTATTTCATACACACTTTCATATTTTCATCCGAGAAGAACAGCACAACCATCCCAAGACTATATTTTGACTTAGTCGAGAGTGAGAGATATTCTGATTATCCATGGGGTATTGATGCATTCCAATACCTTATTAAATTTATTAGCAAGTAGATGGATTCTCAAAAGAAGTACTATAGGATAGCTGGGATACCTCTTGCCATGCAATTATAGTTTTACGAGTGTTGTTCAAAGATTGACCCCAAAATTGCATTGTGAGTTGATAACCGGATACCCAAAATACTCAATTGGAGATCCACTCTCAACCAGCCAACTTATGCTGATCTGATGAATAACATATTCAATGACCAGGGAAACATGGTAATTTACTATTTGTTAAGTCAATGATATATTTTTTTTAAGAATATATTTTTGTTAGTGAAATCATTTGTTGAAATTTTCATTGTCCGCTTCTGCGATCTCCTCCACGCCTGCGGGTCATTTAGCGTAACTGCGGGCATCGCAGATGCGGCATTTCCCTTCGCACCTGCGACCCCTGACCACACATCCCAAATCCACTTCTGCGCTTGCCTCTCCACACGTGCGATCACGCACCTGCGGTCTCTCCACCGCAGGTGCGAAAATGACAGATGCCTGAAGACTTCAGCAGCAACACAAATCCAACTTTTGATCTGTTAAGCACTCGAAACTCACCCGAGGCCCCCAGGACCTCAACCAAACCTACCAACCAATCCTATAACACCATACGAACTTAGTCGAGCCTTCAAACCACATCGAATAACACCAAAAATCATGAATTAAGCACGGATTCAAGCTTAAGAACTTAGAATTTTCCTAATTCTACAAACGACGCCGAACCACGTCAAATCTAGTCTGAATTACCTCATATTTAACACACAGGTCACAAATGACACTACGAACCTACAGCCACTTTCGGAAATCCATTCCGAGCTCGATATCAAAATTTCCACTATCGATCGAAATCGCCGAAAATCTAGCTTTTGCCAATTCAAGCCTAAATCTACTACAGACCTCCAAAACACATTCTGGACGCGCTCCTAAGCTTAAAATCACTCAACGGAGCTAATAGAGTCGACGAAATTCCATTTCGGATCTGTCTTCACACAATTTTGACTACGGTCTAAATTCTAAGACTTAAGCTCTCATTTAGGGACTAAGTGTCCCAAAACACTCAGAAACTCAAAACCAATCATCCTGGCAAGTCACAATAGCAGAAATAGATATGGAAAAGCAGTTAATAGGGGTTCAGGGCTCTAACTCTCAAAATGACCGGCCAATTCGTTACATCCTCCCCCTCTTAAAATAATCGTTCTTTCTCGAACGAGCATAGAGACATACCTGAAGTGGTGAAAAGATGAGGATAACAGCTGCGCATATCCTGCTCGGTCTCCCAAGTCGCCTCCTCGACCGGCTGTCCCCTCCAATGAACCTTCACGGAAGCAATGTTCTTTGATCTTAACTTTCTGACCTGCCTGTCTAAAATAGCCACTGGCTCCTCAACATAAGATAGATCCTTGTCCAATTGAACTGAGCTGAAATCCAACACATGGGACGGATCGTCGTGATACTTTCGGAGCATAGAAACATGGAATATCGGATGAACTCCTACTAGACTGGGAGGCAGGGAGAGCTCATAAGCAACCTCCCCAACTCGACGCAACACCTTAAATGGACCAATGAACCTTGGGCTCAGCTTGCCCTTCTTCCCAAACCTCATAACGCCCTTCATAGGCGAAATCCGGAGCAAGACTCGCTCTCCAACCATGAATGCCATATCGCGAACCTTCCGGTCCGCTTAACTCTTCTGTCTGGACTGGGCTATGCGAAGTCTCTCCTGAATCACGTTCACCTTTTCCAAGGCATCCTGAACCAAGTCTGTACCCAATAATCTGGCCTCACCAGGTTCGAACCAACCCACTGGGGACCGACACCGCCTACCGTACAGAGCCTCATACGGTGCCATCTGAATGCTGGACTGATAACTATTATTATAAGCAAACTCCGTAAGTGGAAAGAACTGGTCCCAAGCACCCCCAAAATCTATCACACATGCACGAAGCATATCCTCTAATATCTGAATAGTGCGCTCGGACTGCCCGTCCGTCTGAGGGGGAAATGATGTGCTCAACTCAACCATAGTACCCAACTCATGTTGTACAGCTCTCCAGAACCGTGATGTAAACTGCGTATCCCGGTTAGAGATAATAGATACCGGTATGCCATGAAGCCTGACGATCTCACGGATGTAGATTCGAGCTAGCTGCTCAGAAGAATAGATAGTCATCACAGGAATGAAATGAGCCGACTTGGTCAACCTATCCATAATCACCCAAGCTGCATCAAACTTCCGCTGAGTCCGTGGGAGACCAACAACGAAGTCCATAATGATCTGCTCCCATTTCCACTCCAGAATCTCTATCTTCTGAAATAATCCACTTGGTCGCTAATGCTCATATTTTACTTGCTAGCAATTCAGACATCGAGCCACATACTCTACTATGTTCTTCTTCATTCTCCTCCACCAGTAATGCTGTTTCAAGTCCTGATACATCTTTGCGGCACCCGGATGAATAGAGTACCGCGAACTGTGAGTCTCCTGAAGAATCAACTCACGCAAACCATCTACATTGGGCACACATAACCTGCCATGCATCCTCAATGCACCATCATCTCCAATAGTGACCTCCTTAGCATTATCGTGCAGGACCGTGTCCTTAAGGACAAGTAAATGGGGGTCATCATACTGACGCTTCCTGATACGATCATAAAGAGAAGACCGAGAGACCACACAAGCCAATACTCGACTCGGCTCAGAAATATCCAATCTCACAAACTGGCTGGC